GAGAGGAGGAGAGGGAGAGGAGAGAGAGGGAGAGAGGGAGAGAGCGAGGAGAGGAGAGAGAGAGAGGGAGGGAGAGGAGGGAGAGAGAGAGAGAGGGAGGAGGGAGAGAGAGAGAGAGGGAGAGGGGAGGGAAGAGAGAGAGAGGGAGGGAGAGAGGAGAAGAGAGGGAGGCAGAGAGAAAGAGAGAGAGAGGGAGGGAGAGAGAGAGGGAGAGAGTCAGCTTGGGATGACACTGTGGTTGGGGCAGAGAGCAGCAGGGACCTGCCACACCTGAGCCGACCCCCCCTCCTCGGCCTTCCGCCTCCAGAACGGAGATCCCGGGGGCCGCGGGGGCACACCCACCTTATCTCCTTCCTCCACCTCGCAGATCTGCTCCAGCGTCGAGGGGTTACAGGTGGCAAACTTCTTCCCGCTGGTGGACGCGTGCCACTCGTTGTTGATGAATATCTGCCCGAGAAGGGAGTGGCCGTGCGTTAGGCTCACGGCACAATCATCTCAGGACCAGGATCATTCCTATTTCTTTTTTCTTCCCCCCCCCCCAAAGAACTGTTTACCCGCCTTCAGAGAGAGAGGGAGAGAGAGAGAGAGAGAGAGAGAGAGAGAGAGAGAGAGAGGGAGAGAGGCTCAGGCTGGCAGGAGGGCAGAGCCCCCACCTCCCCCCACGCACCCATGTCGGATCCTGAGCCGACAGCACCCCTCGCACGCCGGGGGATGTGTCCTTCCCACATCTGGGAGCTCAGCCCCGGGCCCCCAGGGGAATCTGCCCTGGGGCGGACGGACGGACAGACGGACGGACGGGTGGGGAGGGGGGAGCTGAGCTTCAATTACAGGCTTCTTCTTCCAGCTGAAACCGAACCCCAGCGCTGACGTTCGCCCTCCGGCCGGCCATCAGCGGGGCGGGGAGGGGCTGGCCGGGCCGGCAGGCCGGGGAGGGCGGCCGGCGGGAGGGGCCGGCGGGCCGGGAGATGGGATTTCGTGGCTCGGAGAACAGAGGCCGTCAGCGAAAAACGGCTGAAGCAGGAGCCTGCCTCCCTCGTATCAGTTCCGAGGGGGCGGGCGCAACGTGAGAAGGCGGCAGGAGGGAGCCGAAATCACCGGGAGGGAGCGATCCGGTGTCCGGGCATGACATTGACCTGTGAGTCCTCTCTCACCAGCAACTTCTTGTTGTTGTTGTTGTGTTTTTTTTTTTTTTTTTTTTTTAAATACTAGAGGCCCGGTGCATGAAATTCACGCACAGTAGGGTCCCTCGGCCTGGCCAGCCAGCAGGGCGATCGGGGCGGCACCCCCTTGGCTGGCCTTCGGGCTGGGGGCGGCTCCTGGATTTAGCTTCTGCCCCCTGGTGGTCAGAGTGCCTCCTATTGACCAGTGGTTCTGCCGTTCAGTCTATGTGAAGCTTTTATTATATAGGATAGTCTTTATTGATGTCAGAGAGGAAGGAAGGGGGGGGGGGAGAGAGAGAGAGAGAGAGAGAGAGAGAGAGAGAGAGAGAGAGAGGAGAAGCATCCACAAGGAGAGAGAATCATGGATTGGCTGCCTCCTGCACGCCCCCCACTGGGGATGGAGCCCGCCCTTGACCGGGATTCAATCTGTGACCCAGAGACATAATCCTTCCCTATGCAGCCCTGATAGGACCTCCCCCCCACCCCCTGCTGGTCTAGGTAATTTCTGGCCTCTAGATGGTTTTGATAAAAGCCCTATAAAACAAAAAATGAAATAAACCCCCCCCCCGCGCCCACCCAGTCCGTGCCGGGTTTTCACCCCGAAGCCAATCCTGGGAAGGGAGCTACATCACACGGGGTCCCCAGCCTGGCTGCTCCGTTACACAGGGTGGCGGGCGGGCTCCGTCCCCGGGGCCGGGCGCGCAGGAGGCAGCCGATCCACGCTTCTCTCTCGTCGCTTCCATCTCTCTCTCCCCCTCTCCCTTCCTCTCTGACATCCATAGAAACGTATTTCGACAACCACCGCCACCACAACCAACTACCACCACAGAAGGCACTCCGTGCAGCACAGAGCCCCGTGGAACCCGGTCCCCGCCAATGTCAAGGGCGAGGAGGCCCCGCCGACAGGAAGTAAGTGCCCGGAGGCCCAGCTCCGAGGAGGGCCCGCTTTGGCCGCCTGCAGCAGCGTTCCCCTCCGTGCCCCTCCGGGAGCAAACGGGCTGAGACGGGTAATTGCTACTTTGGAAAACGAAATGGACGGGGAGATTGTCTCGGGCCTCGGGGGCTGTGGATGGGGGTGGGGGGATCAGGGATGATAAAGCGGACCTAGGGGGGCGCCCGGATAAAGCCAGCTGCACTCTGGGTCCCAGCCCCTTCAGAGGGCCCCCGAACCCACAGCCCCCGCCCCCCCAGGCCTCCACTCGGCCTCAGAGCCTCGGGGGACACGCTTAGCCCGGCTCCTGGCCTCGCCTTCTCCCTGCTGCCCCCGGCAGGCCATCTCACTGCTCCGCGGACACCCCAGCTGCCCCCCCAGGCTGCCTCCCCCAAAGGCAGGGCGCCTCGGGGACCGCCCTGCCTCCCGGGACGCCCCAGGCCCGGATCTGAGGGCCTCTGCCAGCTCCCGGCCCTCGGGGGGCTTCTGAGGCCCCCCCCCCCAATTTCCTCGCTCCACTGGCCAGCCAGGTGCACAGCTGAGCTCGGAGCTGCCCGAGGCTTCTCCTCCGCTCCTCATGGCAGCGTTCCAGAGGAGCCGGAGACCTCAGACACCGCCCACCCCCCTCTCTCTCTTAAAAAATTAATCCTCCCCCGAGAATATGTTTCCATTGATTTTTTTTCTTTTTTTTTGAGAGAGAGAGGGGAAGAGAGAGGCAGAGACAGAGAGAAACATGGATGAGAGAGAGAGAGAGACAGAGAGACAGAGAGAGAGACAGAGAGAGACATGGATGAGTGGCTTCCTGCACACACACCCCAACCAAGGCCCCGGGGCCGGAGCCTACCACCGACGGACATGCCCTTGACTGGAATCAAACCCCGAGGACCCTTCCGTCTGCAGGGGGAAGGCTCTATCCACTGAGCCACACCGGCCAGGGCTCAGCCTTTCTCTTCGCCTTCGCAGGCACCCTCTGCCCCTCCTGAAGGCCCACGAGTTCAGGCCCCAAAGCCTGAGGCAGAGTCAGCGGGGAGCCTGCCTGCGGGCGCCCTCCCCTGCCTCCTGCCCGGTTTGGGGGCTGAAAGTTTGAAAACGCCGAGCTAAAAGCCGGTGTGGCTCCGCAAGGTCCCAGGTTCGATTCCCGGTCCAGGGCGTGGAGCCAGGCCGGGTCGCAGGCTGCATCGCCAGTGGGGCGCGTGCAGGAGGCAGCCCATCCACCACCCCCTCTCCCCATGGGCGTCCCTCTTGCTCTCCCTCCCTCTCCCATCAATAAGAACATAGTTTTAAAAACAAACAAAAAAAGTGCGCCCAAACCGGTGTGGCTCAGCGGATAGAGCGTCGGCCTGCGGACTGAAGGGTCCCGGGTTCGATTCCGGTCAAGGGCAGGTACCTTGGTTTCAGGCACATCCCCAGTAGGGGGTGTGCAGGAGGCGGCTGATCGATGTTTCTCTCTCATCGATGTATCTAACTCTCTATCCCTCTCCCTTCCTCTCTGTAAAAAATCAATAAAATATATTAAAAAAAAAAGTTTGACAGCGCTGAGCCAAGGCCGAGCCCGGACGGGGTGGGGGAGTGGAGGGGAGTGGGAATCGCGGGGTGCTCCTCGGGGTGCGCGGGACCCAGATTCCCACCTCGGACCAGGACAGCCCAGCCCGGCCCAACCCCGGGGGGACCCCGGCTGCCCGCAGCGCCCCGGAACCCAGCGGGGAGCGGGGAGCAGCTGCCCGCCGCGCCCGGCGCCCCCTCACCTGGGTGAACTTGACCTCCAGGCCGCGCACCGGGCGCGGCAGGGCCGGCGGCTTCCTGTCGGGCGGCCCGGTCCCCGCGGCCCCGTTGGCGGCGGCCATGGCTCCGCGCCCGCCGAGCGCTCCGTCCCGTCTGCTGCGGTGACAGCTCCGCGGCTTTATGGGGAGCCCCCCCCCCCGCCCCGCCTCCCCCGGGGGCCGCCCATTGGCTGCGGAGGGGAGGGAGGAGGGGAGGGGAGGAGTGAGGGGAGGGGAGGGGGCCGGCCCGCTGCTCCGCACCCGCCCCGCCCGCTCTCCCGCCCGGTCGCCCGCGCTGGACGGAGCGCCCCGAAGGCGGCCGGATGCGCCCCTGCCCCCAGGATGCGCCCCTGCCCCCAGGATGCGCACCTGCCCCGAGCCCGCCGCCGCTGCGCCCCTGGCCAACTCCGCTCGGGCCGTGCGCCCTCCGTGCGCTATGAGCCGCGTCCGTCTGTCCGTCCGTCCGTCCGTCCATCCATCGACCCAGGGTCCGCAGGGACAGCCCGGCGGGCTGGCTGACCGGCCAGGGGTCCCCCACCCGGGGCCCTGGGGGGGCTTCGCGCGCAAAAAGGGGCAAAAGGCGGAGGAAAAACCACTGGAGCCCTTGACCTTCAGAGCTGGGACGCGGCCCTGCAGCCCGGGATGCAATGTTAGACCGCCTTTTTTTTTAAAAAAATTTTTTATTGATTTTTTACAGAGAGGAAGGGAGAGGGATAGAGAGTTAGAAACATCTATGAGAGAGAAACATCCATCAGCTGCCTCCTGCGCACCCCCCACTGGGGATGTGCCCGCAACCAAGGCACATGCCCTTGACCGGAATCGAACCCGGGACCCTTCAGTCCGCAGGCCGACGCTCTATCCGCTGAGCCAAACCGGTTTCGACACAAATACATATTTTTGAAAAATACCTGGAAATGGGTAGAGGAAGCTGCTTGTGGAATAACCTGTGGATGGATGGAGGGAAGGGGGCAGGCGGGGCTGAGGCTCCAGGAGTCTGTTGGCTCCCAGGTGGTCACGGCCGGCCGTGGCCTCACGCCCTCCTCCGGGGACACCGGAGTGGCCCGGGGCGCCGGCCTTGGGGGGCTCCACCTGCCAGGACCCCAGGGGCCTGGGATGGAGACCCCCAGCCGGAGCAGGCGGCTCCCCGAGGGCCGGCCGGGTCCCAGCTTGTCGGGACCAGCAGGGACCTCTGCCCCCGCCCGGCCACGCGCGGGGGGGGGGGGGGGGGGGGGGGGGCGAGAGGCGCGTCTCCCCATTTTCCAGGTGAGTAAGCAGAGGCGCGTGGGCACCTGCCCCAGACACCGCCCGCCCGGGGCGGAGCCTTCCGCCAGACAGCGGTGTGGGGGTGGGCGATGCCGGGCGTGGTGCAGGGGTGCCTCCTGCCTTCCCCTGCACCCCTCTCTCACCGCAGGCTCCAGGGGCAGAGCCGAGCCCAGCGACGGTGCAAACATGCCAGCAGCGCCCCTCCGTGCTGCATCTTTCTCCTCCTTTTCTATTTTTATTTTTAAAAAAAACCCCACCAGGCCCTGACCGGTGTGGCTCAGTGGATAGAGCGTTGGCCTGCAGAACTCAAGGGTCCCAGGTTCGATTCTGGTCTCAAGGGCATGGACCTTGGCTGCGGGCACATCCCCCTGGTAGGAGTGCAGGAGGCAGCTGGTCGATGTTTCTCTCTCATCGATGTGTCAAACTCCCTCTCCCTCTCCCTCCCTCTCTGCAAGAAAATCAATGAAATATCTATTTTTTAAAAAAACAACCCACCGGATTAACTCTATATTTTTCCATGTAAAGTTGTGTTTATTGATTTTAGAGAGACAGGAAGAGAGAGGGAGAGAGAGAGAGAGAAACCTCAACGATGAGAGAGAATCATGGATTGGCTGCCTCCTGCACGCCCCACGCTGGGGATCCAGCCCGAAACCCGGACGTATGCCCTGACCAGGAATCGAACCCGTGACCTCCTGGTTCCTAGGCCGGCACTCTGCCCCTGAGTCCCACGGGCAGGGCCAGATGCTCCGTTTTGAAGCTCCCCCAAGGTCACACGCCATCCCAGGACGTCCTCGGCGACGCCAGAAGGTGCTGGCAAACTTTCCGACCCTCTTCAACTAAGATGCTCTAAGATGCGTCCGAAATCACTGGGGGGTTTGGATTCGACGTCCTCAGGGGGTGGGGGCAAAAAGCACTTCCTGGTTAGACGGAAAAGTCCTCTCAGGGGCCGAGAAAACGGTTCCAGAAGATTCTTTTGGACACAGCGCGGCTCTCGCTCCGCGGATTGTGCTGAGGGAAGCCGGGGTGGGGTGACTCACAAACACACAGATTCCATTTCCCTGGGAAGCCACGGGGGGATCGAGAACGTGTCGGCGGGGAGGGGGAGGGGGTGTGGCAAGACAGCCACTGCCAAACCCCAAATATGTGAAAGCAGATCTGAGTGCGCTTGCCTGGCGAGCCACGGTTGGGCCTGACCATCCGTCCATCCGCCCCAGCCCCACAGGGACGAGCCCCCTCCCCCCCCAGGCCGCCCAGCCGGACGCCGTGTGTCCGTTATTCAATCGTCTCCGTTGGACGTTTGCCCCGGCTCCGAGCCTGGGGTGGGCCTGGGACAGGGAGCGGAGAAGCTGTTAAGATCTGTCTTCTCCTGGGACCGCCTGGTGTGTGCATGTGCGTGTGCATGTGTGAGTGTGTGTGTGTGTCTGTGGCTTTTATATGTCACTGTGCCTCTGTGGGGTCAGGGTCACCCAGACAGTCCTCTTGCGGGTCCCCTGGCGTCAGACTCTACACCTCACACGCGTTATCACATGTGTAGGCAACACAGACGGGACGCCGACGTATGTCCATTTTCACCCGGTTTTTAAAAATGTATTTTATTGATTTTTTTTTTTTTTTTTTTTACAGAGAGAAAGAGAGAAGAGGGATAGAGAGCTAGAAACATCGATGAGAGAGAAGCATCGATCTGCTGCCTCTTGCACACCCCCCACTGGGGATGCGCCCGCAACCAAGACACATGCCCTTGGCCGGAATCGAACCCGGGACCTTTCAGTCCGCAGGCCGACGCTCTATCCACTGAGCCACATGGGTTTTGGCTCCATCCAGTTTTTTTTTTTTTTTAATGTATATTGTTATTGATTTCAGAGAGTAAGGGAGAAGGAGAGAGAGAGAAACATCCATGAGGAGAGACAATCACGGATCGGCTGCCTCCTGCTCGCCCCACACTGGGGATCGAGGCTGCAACCCGGGCCTGTGCCCTGACCGGGAACGGACCTGCGACCTCCTGGTTCCTAGGTCCACGCTCCATCCACCACGGAGCCAGGCCAGCTGGGCTCACCCAATATGTATTATTTTTAATTTGGCATTGTGGTGACCCTAAAAAAAAATCACCCAGCCACAAGGGGATAGATTGATTAATTCTCTAGATAGCATTTCCAAATCTATAGTGCTTTTATTTTGAGCATGCTTGGGAGCACTGAGTATCACATACTACTTATATATTATATTACTTATATAGAACATAATATAATATTATATTAGTTATCTATTCTATTCTATTCTATTCTATTCTATTCTATTCTATTCTATTCTATTATCATCCAACATCGTCTATTTATTTAAAGGCAATGGATTGGGCTGGACAAGGTGTGCTTTTCGCCGGCAATTTTGAAGAAGCATCCGTATCAGGAACGCAGCCCAGCACCACAGACCGTACGTGTGGCCTCCGCGGGCGCCTCATAAACCCCACGGGCCCCTCCGATCCCGTGACTCTCTGCCCTCCCTCCAGCCCGGGCAGCGCCAGCCACTGCACCTGCTTGCTTGCAAAAGCCCAGGGACCCCCGCTGCACTTCTCCGGTCGGCCACGAGGCGGCGCAAGACCAAAAAAATCGAGTCGGAAGTGGCCCGGGGAAGCTGGTTCCCAAGTGAGAGGCAGGAATTCCCCAGCGACAGGCAGTCAGAGGCGGTTGCACCAGCTCCTTGGCCTTAGGCATGCCTCCCCCTCCCCCCTCCCACGGGGTCTCAGAGACAGAGCCAGAGCTTCTGCTGCTGCTGCTGCTGCTTCTTCTTCTTCTTCTTCTTCTTCTTCTGTAATTAATATTTTGATTGGTTTCGGAGAGGAAGGGAGAGGGAGAGAGAGAGAGAGAGAGAGAGACAGAAACATCCACGAGGAGAGAGAATCATGGACCGGCTGCCTCCTGCATGAACCCCTATCAGGGCTGGGGAGCCTGCCACCAAGGCCCGTGCCCTTTGACCAGAATCGAACCCAAGACCGCCCTTAGCCTGCGGGCCAACGCTCTATCCACTGAGCCACACCGGCCAGGGCAGGTTTCCCCCGTTTCTCACCCGGTGCTGGCTCCGCTCCTGCCCCAGGCGCCCCTCTGCCTACCCCTCCACCTCAGGAGTCTCTCCCAGGGCTGTGGGCGGCCTGGCTTCTGCCCAGACCCAGGGGGGCCTGTAGCCACCCCCCCCCCCGACCCCCCCGAGGCCCCGGCCGCCAGGGTCCTGTGTCGCAAGCTGGCTGCTTCCTAAGACGGGAAGGACAGTCTCCCGGGCCCATGGCCGGTGTGGGAACAAGGCTGGGGTGGGGAGGAGGGGGGGGGGAGAGCCGGCTTCTGGGGGGCGGGAGGGGGAAGGGGGTTCGGGCACAGGGTGGTGGCCGGGCTCGGGGCTGGCAGGGCAGAGGGCGGGCAGGGACAATGGCGGCATTGTGTGTCTGTCCCAGGAAGCGGCTCCGTGGGGCTCGCAGGGAAATTGCCCGTCGGAGGCTCCTCGGTGCCGCCCCGCCCAGCCCGTCAGCGGCAATGCCACAGGGAGCGGCCGTCTGTGCCAGGCGGGCTCCGTGCCCTCCTCCCTGAGCTGAGGGAGTTGGCACGGAAATGCATCGTGTTACTGTTAGTCCCTTTATTCTAAAATATAGTTTTATTGACGTCAGAGAGGAAGGGAGAGGGAGAGAGGAAGAGAGAAACACCGATGACGAGAGAGAATTATGAATCGGCTGCCTCCTGCACGCTCCCTACTGCGACCCTGGCCTGTGCCCTTGACCGGGAATCGAACCTGGGACCCTTCGGTCCGCAGGCCGACGCTCTATCCACTGAGCCCAACCAGTGAGGGCTGTTAATACTTTTTTTTTTTTTTTAAATATATTTTATTGATTTTT